AACTTAACCTACCTTATGGTTGTTGTGGTATCAAATGCTGTCTAATCAGACAGCTAGAATATTTTCACTACAAAATCACGTAGCCTATCCGTTTTAACGTTACAGCTAATAAAATAAAGTTGCTAATACATGATTCTTTCCGCACAGGCTAACGTAGGCTAATAAAATATGTTAAAATATCTAGACTTTCACTTACCTAAATACAGATGTGAAAGGTTGAAAACGCTTAATTAACACATTTCGGCGTGGTTTTGATAACATGTTTGCTTTTTTTCGATAACTATAAACACTTTCTTTTAGCTTTCTGAGGAGCTTTAATTACTGTTATGACAGCGAAAGGTACGCTGTTAATGACCACATCTGTGTGTGGAGTTTCAATCTTTCAGTCCATTTTGCGTCATTCATCCGTGTGTTCACTCCTGTCGATATTTTCTCACAGGTGTCTCACGTGTTCATTAATTAGATATAGAAGAAGCTGCTCGGTTTTAATACCCTGGCTGTCAGCTGAAGAAGAAGGTTGAATAATTTCTCAGAAAATCACCACAGTCAGTTAAAGCACGATGAACAAATCTGCCTGAACAGAAATGTAAAAACTCAATGTCCGTGTAGCACTGAAAAACACAAATAAATAAATACAATTATTTACTTAAGTTTTTAGTACTGTATTTTTGTCCAATTATGTCAAACGCACTCTTAAAAACGAAAAAGTTTCAGAAATGTTTTCCCTAAAACAAAGAAAAAATCAACCAAAATATTATGCTTTAGCTTTTAAATAACATTATTTTGCTCGTTTTAAGGAAAAATTAATTAAATGTATTAAAAAGTTATTCCTAAAACATTGAAGTGTGAGAAAGTTAAGATGAAGGGCTACTAAAATTTAATAAAACTGAAAAAAATCACCTTAATAACATTCAAAACAACGTGCTATTGCTGAAATACGAGATGTTTTGTTAAAGAATAAATAATTAAAAAAGAAAAAGCATTGTGTTCTTGTGAAACCCTGTTCATTTTGCCATAATTTGATTTAAACAATAGGCTAGATCAGTGGTCATTTTTGAAACAGAGGGCTACTTCTTGGGTACCAATTAATGTGAAGGGCTATCAGTTTGGTACACATTTCCTAAATAACAAATTTTCTCAATTTACTTGTAATTACATGTTGTTGTTATTATTAATTAATGATATTCATCTATGTAAAGTCACTGATCATGTTAATGATTTCTCACAATAGATATCAATATGCAACACTTCATTTGTCTGAAATAGTTTTTAAAGTTAAAAAGAATAACTACAAAAATATAATAATAAAAATATAATAATAATAATTCCTTACATTTATATAGTGCTTTTCTGTGCACTCAAAGCACTTTACACATAAGGGGGAATCTCCTCATCGATAGGGGTCAGGCTGCAGACTCGGTGCAGTGTAATCTTAGCTGCATCCAGTGCTTTTTATTGGGCTCACCCAAGCCAACGCCACCCCTAACCCTACCCGTCACAGTGACGTCACTCACTCCATTGAGTGCATTGTCTGACATTGCATCGCTGAGTGATGCAATCTCAGCTTGCATCATAAAGGCTGTATCCAGATACTACTGTCCTCATCCACCACCAATATTAGATGTAGCTTACTGGTGTGGTGCTATGAGCTATTTTTAGAACAGGCCCGCAGGCAACTCATGTGATCCTCGCGAGTTACCTGGTGCCCCTGGGCACTATGTTGGTGACCCCTGGGCTAGATCATAGGCCTCAAACTCAATTCTTGGAAGTGCCGCAGCTCTACACAGTTTTGCTCCAACCCTAATCAAACACCCCTGATCCAACAAATCAAGGGGTTTGAGACTACACTGAACTACAGTTTCAATTTACTATGATCTTCTATGTGAAGCTGCTTTGACACAAACTACATTGTAAAAGCGCTATACAAATAAGGATGAATTGAATTAAACTACCAGAGACTATTGAGCAGGTGTGAGTTGGAGGTGGTTGGAACTAAACTATGCAGAGCTGCGGCCAGGAGTTGAGTTTGAGACCATTGGGCTATGATGAATTTGTAAATGCAGACTTTTTGCGAGACTGTTGTAATTCATTTAAAATTAATCTGTACTACATGTATTTATAAGTATATATATATATATATATATATATATATATATATATATATAATTTATTATTTTCATTTTAATCTTTTAAAACCGTGGTGGTTATTCATGAAGAAAACTACATTACTGAAAAATTCCATCAAGCAGAGACAAGCCAAGGACACCAAAAGAGAACTTAGGCCAAATTATTGTGCATAAACTCACCGGCCACTTTATTAGGTACACCTGTCCAGCTGCTTGTAATAATCAGCCAATCACATGGCAGCAACCCAATGCATTAAGGCATGTAGACATGGTCAAGACGATCTGCTGCAGTTCAAACCGAGCAACAGCATGGGAAAAAAAGGGGACTTAAGTGACTTTGAATGTGGCATGGTTGTTGGTGCCAGACGGGCTGGTCTGAGTATTTCAGAAACTGCTGATCTACTGGGATTTTCACGCACAACCATCTCTAGGGTTTACAGAGAATGTTCCGAAAAAGAGAAAGTATCCAGTGAGCGGCAGTTCTGTGGGCCCAAATGCCTTGTTGATGCCAGAGGTCAGAGGAGAATGGCCAGACTGGTTCCAGCTGATAGAAAGGCAACAGTAACTCAAATAATCTCTCGTTACAACCGAGGTCTGCAGAAGAGCATCTCTGAACACACAACAGGTCCAACCTTGAGGCTGATGGGCTACAGCAGCAGAAGACCACACCGAGTGCCACTCCTGTCAGCTATGAACAGGAAACTAAGGCTACAATTCACACAGGCTTAACAAGACTGGATAATAGAAGATTGAAAAAACGTTGCCTGGTCTGATGAGTCTTGATTTTTGCTGCAAACTTTAGATGGTAGAGTCAGAGATTGGCGTCAACAACACAAAAGCATGGATCCATCCTGCCTTATACCAATGGTTCAGGCTGATGGTGGTGGTGTAATGGTGTGGGGGATATTTTCTTGGCACACTTTGGGCCCATTAGTACCAATTGAGCGTTGTGTCAGCGCCACAGCCTACCTGAGTATTGTTGCTGACCATGTCCATTCCTTTATGACCACAGTGTATCCATCTTCTGATGGCTACTTCCAGGAGGATAACATGCCATGTCATAAAGCGTGAATCATCTCTGGTTTCTTGAACATGACAATGAGTTCACTGTACTCAAATGGCCTCCACAGTCACCACAGCTCAATCCAATAGAGCACCTTTAGGATGTGGTGGAACGGGAGATTCGCATCATGGATGTGCAGCCGACAAATCTGCAGGAACTGCGTGATGCTATCATGTCAATATGGAGCAAAATCTCTGAGGAATATTTTCAGTACCTCATGAGTCTATACCACAAAGAATTAAAGCGATTTTGAAGGCAAAAGGGGGTCCAAACCAGTATTAGTAAGGTGTACCTAATAAAATGGCCAGTAAGTGTATTTTTGTCCTTTTCATTTGTGTCATTCACAAAGCACAATTACCAAGTGTGCTACAAATCTTTTGAAGACATACATCAATAGATTTGTGAAAACAACAACAAAAAATATATAATCAATAAACAATCGATAAACCCATATAGTGTTTTGCACTGATGAACAATTTTTTTAATAAAAATGAAGCATTTCTAATTAAATTTAATTCCCACTTAAAAAGACTGAATACATATTTTCAGTGGATTCTTCCATTACAGAAGACAAAAATCCATGTAAGGCTTGTTTCTGAATATTAAAACAAAATATTTCATAGCACAGAACAGTTTCATACATGTAAACAACATAATGAGCAACGAGACATGAATGAGGAAACACCACACAAATAAACCAAAAAATGAAAAGCAAACTAATAAAACTTTCCGGTATCCTGCACCAGATCTTTTTTTAAAGCATGTATGGCTTTTCCATCCTTACTGCATCATATTACAATACAACTACACATAGCAAAATATCTCTGGCCCGGCTCTGGCCCACTCAATCAGCTTTTGCTTGGCCCACATGTCGCAGTGAGTTACAGTACATGACTGGACCAAGTCTGGCTTCCAGACAAACATGGCCAAAACATGGACCAAATCTGGGCCAAGTCTTAGCCAAGTTAATTGGGCCTGAACTGTTGGTGTGTCATGACTGCAATGAATTTGATAAACCCATGAATCATTGAGCTTTAGGCGTGCTATGGGGGTTTTCTTGAAGTGACCTGACTGGTAGAATTTTTTATTTTTATTTGAAAATAATGTATTTTAAATGTGGGTCAAGACAAACTTACAAGGCCCACATATCATTTATTAACATCTGGGCCAAATACTACATTTTACATCTGGCCCAAGTATTGTGTGCCGCCTTAAAGACAGTGCCACCTCTGCCAAACCGGGCCCATGTTTGGCCCACATGCTGTATGCCAGTGCCGAATGAATGTCTGCTGTGCCAGATTTATGCCAAATCTGGGCCAGAATTCTTTGCTACCTGGGAAGCTAGATTTTGAAGCAAGAGAAAAGACTAGAAATTAGTAGTAGCCTAGCACAATTAGCACTTTCCTGTTTCATGTGTAAAAATATCACCCACTCACTGCTGAAAAATCCAGCTTAAACCAGCCTAGGCTGGTTGGCTGGTTTTAGCTGGTTGGCCAGCCTGGTTTAAGAGGGGTTTTGGCTTTTTCCAGGCTGATTTCCATCCATTTCCAGTCTGGTCTTAGCTGGTCAGGCTGGAAAATGACCAGCCAAATCCAGCTAAAACCAGCTTGACCAGCCTGGTTTAAGCTGGACATAGCTGGTTTTGGCTGGACTCCCAGCTTGGCTAGGCTGGTCAAGACCAGCTAAGACCAGGCTGGAAATGGCTGGAAACCAGCCTGGAAGTGGCCAAAACCCCTCAAAAACCAGCCTGGTCGACCAGCTAAAACCAGCCAACCAGCCTAGGCTGGTCTAAGCTGGATTTTTCAGCGGGGCTGTGTAAAACTGTAATCAGTCAATAGAAATAGCATGTTCCAACACTGTATTAATTAATCCTACTATAATAAAACACATCACTTCTATCATTTAACATCAATATGTTGTTACCAGATTTTAACGTTAGCATTGCTATCACAATTCTAAAACGTCTATGCTTTCATGTTTACCATGTTTTAAGATGCTAGCATGAATCAGCTTGTCGTTGTGTTGGTTGTTTGCTTAGCACATTGTTGTTAACATGAATTAGCGTTTAGCTAGCTAGCATGTTTCTTTATACGCGAGTAATTAGCTTTACCATTTTGCTAGCATGTAATCAGTCAATGGAAATAATCTCGTCAGCAGCCACGGTGCATTTACCAATACAAATGTTTTAATTTCTTTGAGAGTGCAGGAAGATTCATCGCATTACTTGTTTATTTATTTACTGTTTTTCACTTGTTTCTGACTCAAGGCTGTGTCTCCTCTTCCTCTTGTGTTAATTCCTCCTCTTCTTCCTCCATATTGTCTCCGGCTTGGCCTCGGTTGGGAGAAATGTTTCCGTGACCAATGTCTAGCACCCGCAGCTTAGACAGATGAGCGAACGTCTCTTCAGATACTGAATTAACTGAGAGGCGATTAAACCTGGAAAACGAAAGGCAGAGAAATAAACACATGAAAAAATACTATAGTAATTTGTAAAGTGTTTTGGAACCACACTATAGCAAAGTTCATTCATTCATTCATTCATTCAGTCATTGATTCATTCATTTTCCTTCAGCTTAGTCCACTAGTTATCAGCAGAGATGTATAAAGTACAAGAAACCCAGACTTAAGTAAAAGTACAAGTACTCTATCAAAAAAGTGACTTGAGTAGAAGTTGAAGTGTTTTATAAGCAACATACTTAAATATGCAGTTGTTGTTGTGCAGGTTGAAAGTCTCTTCACAGTCTAATAGTAATTATTAAAGTAAATGATCTAAATGTATTTATACGTATTTTTACATTTTGGGTAAGGCATAAAACAGAAAAAAAAGTTCTTCCAATTAAATAGAGTCGGGCCGACATTTCTCAAAAATCTGATAAATAACCCAATCTGTCTGTCAGCAAATGCAGATTTGAACAACTGCGCAGCCGTTTGTACGCATCTCCGCCGACCGCCACACGTTCACTACAGAGAGCACGCGCACGCGATCGGTAAAAACCTGCTGATTCAAAACTTTTTTAAAAACCTGAATCAATATTGGAGTTACCTTTGCACGCTAGAGAAAGGATGACAATGGTGGAAGGATTTCTCTTAGACAGGTCATGTTCTGTTTTAAATCTGTTTTAGCTTCACGCAAAGCTGATGTAACGTTAGATGCTGTTGTTACACATGGGTTATATCTTCACAGAAGTGTAATGTAATGTAATGTAATGTAATGTAATGTGTATTTATATAGCACATTTATTGTGTATAGTCATACACCCAAATCGCTTCACAATCATGAGGGGGGGTCTCTCCACACCACCACCAGTGTGCAGCATCCACTTGGATGATGCGACGGCTGCCACAGGACAACGGCGCCAGTGCGCTCACCTCACACCAGCTATTGGTGGAGTGGAGGGACAGTGATAGAGCCAATTCGGTGGAGAGGGGATGATTGGGAGGCCATGATCGTAAGGGCCGATAGAGGGACTTTGGCCAGGACACCGGGGTTACACCCCTGCTCTTTCACGAGAAGTGCCTTGGGATTTTTAATGACCACAGAGAGTCAGGACCTCGGTTTAACGTCTCATCCGAAAGACGGCGCCCACTGACAGTTTAGTGTCCCCTTCACTTTTACTGGGGCATTAGGACTCACACAGACCACAGGTTGAGCGCCCCCTGCTGGCCTCACTAACACCACTTCCAACAGCAACCTAGTGTTCCCTAGTGGTCTCCCATCCAGGTACTGACCAGGCTCAGCCCTGCTTAGCTTCAGTGAGTAACCGGTCTTGGGCTGCAGGGTGACATGGCTGTGGCTCAGTGTTGCTCAGCTACTAAAATCTTCCCATGAAAGATTGATAAGACTATTTTCAATTTCATAAGGGACCTTTTACAGCACCAATGATGTACATTTTAATTAGTTTAACAACAAAACACAAGCAAATATTTAATGGACATGACAATATTTACTCGCCACCGCCTCCTTCCCCATAGTATTGTGACATTGCGCATAAGAGATAAATTATGTCAGTACGTAATAACCGGTTATGACCTATTACTGAACCGAATGATTTTGACACCCCTAGTAACGAGTAATGATGCACATAAAAAATCTGTCAAAGTAAAAGTATTAAACTCATCGAAAATATGTACTGAAGTAAAAGTGGAAGTAGGAGAAAAAAACAATACTCCAGTAGAGTACAGATACTGCCTTTTGGTATACAGTAGTGAAGTAGTTCTGTTTCATTACTATACATCTCTAGTTATCATGGGTCGCCACAGTGAAATAAACTATTCCAGCCTGTTTTATTCATTCATTCACACCAGGGCCGGCTCTAGTCCACCCAACCAAAAAGCCAGCAGTATACACATACTTTTATTTGATTTTTTTCTTTGGTACGATTTGTGATTTGATAAAGGCAATCTAAGGCGGGCTCTGTGTTGAAAAATGGAAAAAGGGGCACTGAAAACCCTGACCAGTCATAGCCCAACACCAAACAGTTTGACTGGTTGTAATTAAGGCTTGCTTGGCTATCCAAGATTACGGAGAAGCTGTTACAATTCATGCAAGTAACCAGCGCTGATGGTGATACCTCTGTCCTGGATCCGCTTCATAAACACCTCCATTTATTTTCTCTCGCTCTGAGCACGCTCTGGCACTGCACCATCATATTACAATTATAACACCTATTTTTTATTTGGAGAATAAAGGGCATCACACACCGGATGCGCTGCTCAGCAACAGGGCGCGCACATGACAGTTAAAAGTATCGCACACCAGATGCGCTCATTCGCAGATTGCGCTCTGTGGCGTGGCAGAAATATGAACGGTGTACTGAGTCATAACTGGGCTCTGCGGACAGCCGTCGACTTGAGGCGGCGGTATGTGTACCCTGATAGAAACCTATTTTTAGAGTTCTAAAATCCATGGTGCTGCATGGCACTACACGGCGCGTAGCCAAGCAGCGCTTCTGGTGTGTGACCCCCTAAAGCAGGTCGCACACCAGAAGCTCCACTCTGAGATGCACAGCGCCACTCATTTCAGAAATAACTAGGTTTCTATCAGGGTACACACACCGACACCGCAAGTCGGCGGCTGTCCGTGGCGCCCAGCTATGAGTCAGGACACCGTTCATATTTCTGCCATGCCACAGAGCGCAATCTGATTAGTTTCATTTTAAATATCATGCGGATGTGCGCGTCTGGTGTGCGATACTTTCACTTGTCATGTGCGCGTTGTGTCGCAGCGCTGAACGGCGCATCTGGTGTGTGATGCCCTTTACAGTTAGCCTATTAATAGTGCTTAAAAAAGATCTATTTATAAAACAGTACATATGATAAATCCACACCAAACTTTTAATTTTAAGTTTAATTTTATAGCTTCATAGCTTAAACTATAAACAATGAATGCATAGTAATTTAACACTGGGCTACATTTAAAAACTAAATTAGCCTATACTTTAAGTAAAAGTCAACATGCACTCTGTTGTTGTCCATTATTGCTGTGGCCGCAGTGCGTCTGTTTTGCTTCTGTAAAGAACAGACCATTTGACAGACAATCTCAATAAAAAAAATATAAAGTCAATAAAATTGCTCATTTTAATAATGGACAATGAAAAAAAATAAAAAAATAAAAAGTAAATAAATATATATATATATATATATATATATATATATATATATATATATATATATATATATATATATATATATAAATATATATATATATAATCTAACTAGAATAGAATAGAAAACCTGCAGATCATATGCATTTTTAATTCTTGGAAAATATGAGTGTCTCCATCTCTCCATGCTCTCAAATCAGAGTAGGAATTTGGTGAGGGTGATGATGTGCGTCTGCTCCTATTGTTAAAAATAGACTGGCCAAATTGCTGAAAAAGTTACATTGGCATGCTTTGTAATGGCTCAGGCACGTCCATTAAGAAAGTTCCACTGAGTTCATGATGTCATCTCCACTCGAGATTGAGCACAGAGTGTTTTTCTGATGCACACCAATCCATCATTTCACTTCCTTCCATCTATTTTATTGATAAATAGAGGACATTACGTACAGGAATATGTCGCTACTGTGAGTATTAGTTTTGGGAATGGTTCACTTCCGTTGACTCTTTCTGGCAGTTTTAAACCAATATGAAGGGTCAGTTTTGTTTTATTTTGCCGACAAGCAGGATTTCTAAATGTATTCTTGTGAAAGACCACAAAAAAAAAAAACATAAAAATAAATGAATATATTTGTAATGAATGAATAAATATGATATAATGGAAATCGTCTTTTGATAAAATGCTTTTCATTAAATTGACAAAATTGTAACAAAAAAATAAACAATATGGCAATTAGATTAAAATGACAGAAAATAACAGAAGGGTGTCTTTACATTTTATTCTATTTTATTGCCAATTAAATTTTTTTGTCAATAAGTAATTAAAATAATTAATTATATTAAAAGTCATTATAAATGAAATATTTCATTGTTTTGTTTTTAAATTAATAAATGAGTAAGTGAATAAATTGAAAACAAAACTGAAAAGAAAACAAACATCTGATTATTCAGTCACTCCACACCTTAATAATGCATTATTATTACAATTAAGACTATTCAGTATTACTCAATATTGTAACCAAACTACAGGCGGACAATTTCAAGAGGAGAGCGTTTATTGTTTGGTATTACAATTAAATACTGTCACAATGACTTTACTTATTTACAGAAACTGTCCATTTGACTCACTAATGTTCTCCGTTTGTTTATTTGTGTTTTTAAATTGCATTATGGGATCTTGATCTCTGCTCTGTCACGTTTTTGATGAGCGTTTAAATTTAAAAATATGTATTATAATGGTCCAATGGGTATTTCCAATACTGTTTAGCATCTGGTGTGTATAGTAAGTCATCTGACTAATCAGAGCAGAGTAGGGCTATTTGACCAGTGGGAGACGAGTAGAATCTTCTAAACAGCGAGAGCAGAGAAGGGCCTACTGACAAATCAGAGTAGAATAGCGACACTTGAAACTTAGGAGGAAAATAGGAGAATCTGACCAATTAGAGCAGAGAAGATTCTTCTGACCAATGGTAGCAGAGTAGGGCCATCTAACCATTTAGAGCAGATTAGGCCATCTGACAAATGGGACAAGAGTAGGGCCTTCTGACCAGTGGGAGCAGAGTAGGGCCTTCTGACCAGTGGGAGCGAAGTAGGGCCTTCAGACCAATCAAAGCAGAATAGGGCCATCTGAATAAGTAGGAGTAGAGTAGGGTCTTCTGACCAGTGGGAGCAGAGAAGGACCTTCTGACCAATCATAGCAGAGTAGGGACACCTGAAACAAGGGAGAGTAGGAATCTGACCAATCAGAGCAGAGAATTTCCATCTGACCAAATGGAGCAGATTAGGGCCATCAGACCTCTGGGAGCAGAGAAGAGCCATCTGACCAATGGGAGCAGACTAGGTACATCTGACCAATCAGAGCAGAGTAGGGCCATCTAAACCAATGAGAGCAGAGTAGGGCCTTCTGGCCAATCAGAGTAGAATAGGGCCATCTGACCAATTGGAACAAATTAGGACCATCTGACCAATGGAAGCAGATTAGGGTCATCTAACCAATGGGTGCAGACTAGGTACATCTGACCAATCAGAGCAGAGTAGAGCCACCTGAACAAATTGGAGCAGAGTAGGGTCTTCTGACAAGTGGGATCAGAGTAGGGCCTTCTGGAAATACAAGCAGAGTAGGGACATCTGACACTTAGGAGGAGAGTAGGAGAATCTGACCAATGGAAGCAGAGAAGGTCCTTCTGACCAATGAGAGCAGTGTAGGGACATCTGACCAATTGGAGCAGAGTAGGGCCATCTAAACCAATGGGAGCAGATTAGGGCCTTCTGGCTAGTCAGAGCAGAGTAGGGCCGTCTGACCAATTGGAACAAATTAGGACCATCTGACCAATGGAAGCAGAGTAGGGCCATCTGACCAATGGGTGCAAACTAGGTACATCTGACCAATCAGAGCAGAGTAGAGCTACCTGAACAAATGGGAGCAGAGTAGGGTCTTCTGACAAAAGGGAGCAGAGAAGGGCCTTCTGGCCAATATGAGCAGAGTAGGGACATCTGACACTTAGGATGAGAATAGGAGAATCTGACCAATGGAAGCAGAGAAGGTCCTTCTGAATAAATAGGAGCAGAGCAGCACATCTTGAGGCAAATTAGGGTCATCTGACCAAATGGGAACAGAGTATGTCCATCTGACCAATGGGAGCAGACTTGGTACATCTGACCAGTCAGAACAGAGTAGGACAATCTAAACAAATGGGAGCAGAGTAGGGCCTGCTGACCAGTTGGAGCAGAGAAGGGATGTTTGACACTTAGAATGAAAGTTGGAAAATCTGACCAATGGGAGCAGAGTAGGGACATCTGACCAATTGGAGCAGATTAGGGCCACCTGACCAACAGGAGCAGAGTAAGACCCTCTGACCAATTGTAGCTGAGTAGGTACATCTGACCAATCAGAGCAGAGTAGGGCCATCTGAACAAATGGGAGCAGAGTAGGGTCTTCTGACCAGTAGAAGCAGAGAAGGGACATTTAACATTAGGAGAATCTGACCAGCTTGAGCAGAGTAATGCCATCTGACCAATCGGAACAGAGTAAGATATAAGACCAATAGGAGCTAAGAAGGGCCACCTAACCAATGGAAAAGAGTGGTCATTTGACCAATCAGAGCAGAGTAGGGCCATCTGACCAATTGGAGCAATGCAGGGCAGTCTGGCCAATCAGAGCAGAGTAGGCCCATCCAACCAATCAGAGTATAGCAGCCTCTCAGAAAGGCAGGATTAAATCCTCTGTTACAGACACTGAGAGAAAAGAGTAGGGGTGTAACCCCGGTGTCCTGGCCAAATTCCCTCCACTGGCCCTTACCCATCATGGCCTCCCAATCATCCCCATCCAATCCCCATCAAGAGCTGGTGTGTGGTGAGTGCACTGGCATCATTGTCCTTTAAAACAGCATAATATGTGCAGTGTCTACATTCTATTAATAAATCTCCTCAAATAAATCAGCATGAACAGATCTTCTTCTGCTACACTCTTATACCCTGAGTCAGAGTTTGATCGCCATCGTTTTCCAGACCTCATTTACTAACACCACCACATGCCAAACATCACAGAACCAGCATTTACTCTAGTGCTTCTCATGTTTCTGAAACCAATAATCAGGACAAGATGAGAAAACTATTTTAAGAAATCTGTCTTTTCTTTAAATGAACCATTTTATTCAATCCACATGCTCACAGACTGAATGCTGTTATCTTACTGTATGAGTTTACGGGAAATGTTCTTGCTTCACTTTCAGTTGGTGTAAGTACAACAGTGAGAGTTTCAAAATGAATCCATTAAAGTGGAATGATGGTATAAGAAAAAGGAAAGGACAGATAAACAACAAGACACTAATGCTGTAATGATTAGTGCATACTAACGATTAGAAAGTGTTTATTAAAACGCAAGTATACCTGTCAGAAACAGCTCATTAATAAAACAACACGAATGCAAAAGAAAACATGTATTATAATCACAACATAAACATACATAAGAAATATATTTGACAAGACTGCTTATTTGCTTTGTAAATCCTACAAATTTAGCATTCTAATTTTGTTTTCAAGTCTCTCAAAGTAAGTTTAGTTGCATCAAAGGTCAAAAACTATTTTGCATTTCATATACATTTCATTTTACAACATCAGAACGTTAAAATGTTGTAGATCTTTCTTTCTAAACCCAGATTATCGACTCAGCCTGTTTGATTAGAAAACCCTACTGTGATTGGTCAGATTACTCTAATGATACTGATCAGATGAGCGCAGGCACACTGCTCGGGGGGCGGAAAATTAGGACAAATTTAAGGGCCCATGCCATTTTGGGGCACCAAGAAATACCAGTAGGGGCTCCCAATTTCTCCAAACCCCCAAGCCCCCACTCCCTCTTCACTTTTGTCTATGACCAAAAACCCCTACGCCCTGGTACTCACTTACGTCCATGGTACACCTGCACCAACAATACCCCCACACACATACAAAAATCACCCGCAAATCCCTCGTGACACCCTGCCACCCCCCACCCTCTTCACTTTCATCCGCGTCACCAGTCAGCTGGCCCAGTCTGTTGTTATTTGTTGGACTTACTCTTCTGTGATTGGCCAGATAACAGTACTCTGCTCTGATTGGGCAGAATATACTATTCTTCTCTCATTGGTCAGATGCCCCAGCCTGATGTAACTGATCACTGACTTACAGTATGTTGACCATCATTAACTCCAAAGGCTTCCTCACTCATCAGTGAGAATCGAAATGATAGTATTGAATTTACCATATCAATTTGAGTTTGTTGCTGACAACTTAAAGAATTAGTAGGTCAACCCAAACCTCCATCCCAAGCACAGTGTACTGTAATTGAAAAAGTTGCTAGTGGAATGTCAAGATGAATGAAATAACACTATCATCAATGTTGCGACCAGCTGTAGATGCCTATGAGCTCCGCTAGAGGGCACGCTCTCCTTTACCTCTTTTATTTTCCTGCACTCCATTTCCCAAAATCTTTTGCACTGATTACCACTTCACCTGTGTCCCATTACCTGGACTTTTTAAGCTATTGAAGTTTTTCTGGTGTTTGACCATTCTTGTTAAAACTATGTTACCTTTAATTAAACTGCATTTGGTTCATCAACTATGTTGTCATGCCCTGTACTCTACAAAGGCTTATAGAATACATCAGCCTTCAAAGGGAACTTCTGCATGAAAACAATCCTGACCACCATATTGAAGTGATCCAAGTGCTCAAAACTGAGACTTGTTATTATTATTACTTCAAAGGGCCCTTCAGAATGAAGGATTTTGAAAGGAACTGGTTGACACGTTGGGTCTCCCTATGAAAGTTGCTCCATTTAGAAGGGATCATCCCTATGCCCTAATTGCTACAAAGCTGTCACTTTGGATGGTAAACCCTTAAAAGCAATAAGGGCATAGGGATGAGCCCTTCTGAATGGAATGTGCTTTGTGTGTGGAAGTGTGTACTGCTTAAATCAGGGGTGCCCAAACTCAATCCTGGAGGGCCGGTATCCTGCAAAGTTTAGTTTCAAGCCCAATCAGACTCACCTGGTCTAGTTAATCAAGCTCTTATGAGGCTTTCTAGAAACATCCCTGCAGGTGTGTTTAGGCAAGTTGGAGCTACAATCTGTAGGACACCGGCCCTCCAGGACCGAGTTTGGACATGCCTGACTTAAATAGTCTGGGTAATGAAAGATAGGCAAAGCAATAAGCATTGGCTTGTGGGAAATGGAGTCCAGGTGAATAGCAGAGGTAAAAGATGAAGTGCCTTTTAGTAGAGATAGCTCCAGCTAGTGATCATGACAATCAGTAAAAGTTAATTATCAAGGAAGAGAGGGTCACCTGAGGAATATTCCTTTGATGTTGGGTGTGTTGAGGAAGGCTGTTTCTGAAATAGAGTTGATTCTGTTGTTCTGCAGGTGAAGGAACTCAAGAGACTCGGGTAGGTCAGGGGGAATGTGAGACAGCATGTTACCAGAGAGATCCAGTGTCTGAAACACACATCAAGTTTAATAACTCTCTTTCTACCAACTAACCATCATCTTTGTGAGTCTAGTGTAAGTATTTTAAATGATGTGGGGACCCCAGAAACACTAGCAACGTCTCAGGGTATAGCTAATGGGTATCCAAATAAAAAAAGAGTCTTTGTGAGTCTTTAGAGTAATTTTTAGTTTTTAACAACTGAATCAGGTAAAATTGCTGAATTTCGTACCTTGAGGGCATTCATTTCTAGCCACGCACCCTGGTAGATGGAGCTGAGCTTGAGCTGGTTGTTGGTCAGGTAGAGCTCCCTCAGCGAGGTCATTCCCAGCAGAGCCCCTTCTGGAATCTCTGTCATCTGGTTGTCCTTTACCTTCAGGATTTGGAGACTTTTGGGAAGACCCAGTGGCAGTGCCTGCAACTTGTTTCCTGACAGATCCAGGGTCTCTAGGATTCTGAGTTTCCTGAAGGCCTCTCGGTGGAGCTTGGCGCTTGTGAGGCGGTTGTAACTGAGGTTGAGCTCTGTGAGGGTGTAAAGTGTGATCAGATCGTTGCGTCCAATCTCACTGATGAGGTTATGGAGCAGCATGAGGGTTTTTGCTCGACGAGGAAGGCCGCGGGGAACTCGCTCGAGAAGGTTGTTGTACATGTGGACGGTGTGGAGGCGTTTCAGACCCTGGAAGGCAGCTGGATGGATGGAGCGGGAACGGAGGCGGTTGTTGTGGAGGAGTAAGTACTCCAGGTTTCGGATGGGTGACAGAGCATTTACTGCAATGCTCTGGATTGAATTCTTCTCTAGGTGAAGCAGGATAACATTTCGGGGAAGCCCGAGGGGAACTGTGGACAAGTTGTTATTGGACAAATCCAGATATTCCAGACTGTTCAAATGGCTGATAAGAGAAGGCATTAACAGTATTTTACCATTAAAAGTTTGGTTCACCTCAATAATTTAAATTTGAATGTTATTATTTTAAACCTATCCCCTGAAACCTTCATGCATCTTCAGAACACAAACTAAGATATTTTAGATAAAATCCAAGAGCTCGCTCATGCTTCATAGATAGCATGGGTCCCAATATGTTCAAGATTCCTGAAAAGGAAGCAGTAATATTGTCAAAACAGTTCATGTGACTTCAGCGGTTAAAATCAAGCACAACAATAGGTCTGTTAGACAATGTAGACAAGTGCTGCCATTATCCACTATACCACTACCTGCTCCAACCACCGTCATTCATCTATTAGAACAGGTCCATACAGTATCTACACGGCATACAGCCATATAATATACATGTGCACCTCTGGCTATCATCTCCTCTCATTTTAAACTACCAAGTCCTCAAATTCTATCATCACAGACCCAGAAGGACCCAGGGAGAAAGACAGACATTCTACTCAGAAAATTACAGCAAAACCATCTTTGGATCTATCACTAAGTCTTTAAAATACAACCTAATGTCTAATCCTTATCAATAAATATGCCCTAACTTGCCAAAGTGGTCCTGTCTCAACTCTAATCCTAAGAAGCCCCATGAACCTTTTTATGAACCAAAAAAACTGAAAACATGACAGTTGCAGAGAGCTAGCTGCCTGCAAAATATCTTAATTAGTGTTTCGATGATGAATAAAAGTTTCAGGGGACTGGAACAACATCAGGGTGAGTGGTAATAACAGAATAGTATTTTTCTGTGAACTGAACCTTTGAAATTACAACACTTTATTTAAGTGAAAAAATAAGAATGAATTGAGTTATGCTAACCTAAAGGTCTCGTTGTCCATGCCATCATTACTCAGGAAGTTGTTTTGCAGGTAAAGTTCTCGAAGATGGAATAAATTATCAAATGCCCCTGAGGGAATCTTCTCCAGCTTGTTGTTCTGCAAACAAACAACAGTCATTTGCATTATGCAGTAATAACATTACATCTAATAAAGCATGCCTTTATTAGAAGCTATTTTTAAAGAAATCTATAAACCCAAAACCATTGAATTCCACAGTATTTGTATTAGATGGTGTCGATGTTTTCGATGTACATCACTTCAAAAGCAACCAGCAAAAATAATCCAAGGTAAAAATGAATTTCTCAGGGGAACAGCCTGGTGGATAATCTCTATAGGGAAGTACTTACAATAACTACATGGTGCGAAAGCATCTACTTGCTTTTAAATGAACTCCCGATTTAATGAGCTGGCTGGTAGTCATACCTTCAGATGTAGGCGGTAGAGGGCAGTGGGCAGACACTTTGGGACATAACGGAGAAAATTACTGGACATAATGAGGATCTCGAGGCTGTCTGATCCATTAAACATGCTCTCTGGCAGACCGGCATCCATTAGCTTGTTGTTATGGAGATACACTGACCTGAAGCACAGCAGAGAGACCATTAACACTTACTGTAGACACAAAGCAGCACATAAAGCATGTGGAAAAAAATGCCGTACACTTACTTCAGTGCAGGCTTCTGGCCAAACGTGTTGGGGAAGATTTTGGTGAGCTGGTTTGCGGCGAAATCTGCGCTGACCAAAGATGGAGGAAGGTGTCTGGGAGCTGCGGTGAGCTGAGAACAACATTAAATAATAATAAGTCGAAAATAATCACATATTGTCAGTGCAATAGCATATAATCATTCAATTTCTTTCAGCTTAGTCCCTTATTTATCAGAGGTCGTCACAGCGGAATGAACCGCCATCTATTCTAGCACATGTTTTACACTCTGTATCTGCGCAACCCAGTACTGACAAACATCCATACACACTCAAACACACACACTCATACACTAAGGCCATTTTAGTTTATTCAATTAACCTATAGCGCATGTCTTTGGGCTGTGGGGGAAACCAGAGCACTCAGAGAAAAACTATGCCAGTGAAATGGAGGCCAGCTAGTGTGTGCTGTGCAGGTAAACCTCACTCCTCTGACCTCTAAAGGTGCTCTAGCGACAGACGCTAGGGGCCATGGTCTTTAGCCTCCTTGTTAGAGCAACCGACTCCCATGCGGAAGGTCGCCAGTTCGAAACCAGCTCGGAGAGGGTTGGGTAGCGTGGGACCGAATGGGGTTACATTGGTGCCGTGACCCGGATGGGAGTGAGGTTTAGGGGGGGTGAGTGTAACGGAGGCCAGCTAGTGTGTGTTGTGCAGGTAAACCTCACTCCGCTGACCTCTAAAGGTGCTCTAGCGACAGACGCTAGGAACCATGGTCTTTAGCCTTCTTGTTAGAGCAACCGACTCCCATGCGGAAGGTCGCCGGTTCGATCCCAGCTCGGAGCAGATTGGGCGGCGTAGGACCGGCAGGGTTACACCAACACAGGGAGAATATGCAATGTGCTACAGTGCTAACCACTGAGAAAACCATGTTGCCGAGCACCAACATATTGACCTTATTCTGCGATGTGGAAGTGCGCTCAATTCAGTCGCCTATGGGAGAAATTACCAGGGATGATAAATGGCAGAAAATGGTCATACTACTTGCTCTCCAAACAAGAGTGTTCATGGCTATATGTAAAAAGTTGAATGATAATAATAATATCAGTTTGCATCAAACAGCAAAACAAGCTTTTTTAATGTCTAGAAATCAATAGAAGTGACTGAGTGTTGAACCAAAAAGATTCCAATGGCTGCAGCCACTTTTAAGTGAAGAATAAGGTCAATAGCACAAATGTATAAAGTTATAGGGCCCTATCATACACCCGGCACAATAAGAAACAAGACGAATTTCCACAACGTGTTGCTATTTTCAGATCAACGCAACCTTAATTTTCCCATCTTCCGCCATGTTGTTTAAATAGCAAATACATTTGCGCCACTTTGTGGACTAATGAGTGTTCTGGTCTAGAAAAGAGGTTTGTTAAGGCGGATTGTTGATGCATTGCTATTTTGAGGAACTAAAATAGACTGAGAGCAGGTCTAAAGTCCAGCACAGATTACGTTAGTTGTGCTCCTTGCTTAAAAATGGCTTAATACTTTCAAGATTGTGGTTGGGGAAAAAGAAGCGAGGACCCAAGTGCAGAGTAAATACGTATTTATTTATAGTAATATACAATAAAAGGCAAAATAAACAACCCCGAGGGGAAAAACAATAATAAAACAAATAAACAATCCAAACAAACTAAGACGGAAAGGCTGGCGGGGATCAGTTCTGGAACAAGGCAACATACAACAAGACAAGGCTACATACGATGACGAACGAGCACAGGACAGCAGACATGAGGAGATTATAAGCAGAAATAAAATAACACACAGGTGAACAAATAGATGTTAAACATGTGAATCTAATAAACTAATTATGGGTTAACAAAGAGGGTGGGCCTAGACAATAGACGGGAGAGCACATGACACAAAGAGAGAACACAAGCCAAGCGCTCACATAAAACAAGACTAGAACATGCAGCCAATGAGAGAACTCATTAACCGCGTGTTCATGACAGAAGGCTGAACGTGAGAAACGAGTACAGGATGAATGAAAACACTCGGCATGCACTCACACACGCAGCGTACATGTTTCATGCCAGCGCCAACCGAAACCGAAACCAACTAGACTGAGATGCTGGGAATTATACACCATGCTGCAGACAGACGAACGTGAACACTCAGAGGAGAGCACGCAATTGCAAACACACAGACACCTCACGCACCCGCTTCAAGCGGGAACGCAAACGGTCCAAGCGTGTTCACAAATGACAGAAACAGGGCAAGACAGAGCTAGTGTCCGGACTCTGCCACCAAAACAAGAATTTACAAGACCACAGTGGCAGTGTGCTGGAAATTAGAACTGAATTTAGAAATAGTTTTGAAACAAATCTTTGCACATCACAAACAAATTTAATTAAGTAGGGTAAGGGATGTCTTTAGTGGAGTGTGTACAACACGTTTCCCTATCTAAGAAAGAGAGAAAGTGAAAGTAAAGGCCAAATTGAGGTGGCACATTCTTTATCCTCGCGCTGCATATGCTCTGTTTTAACTGTTTTCTTGCTAGTGAAGTGTTCAGTTTTTCCACTTATAAAATCCGCCATGTAAATAGCAAATGTGCCATGGAGCGACGCAACTGACTCTTAAAGAAATGAGACTCTGATTGGTTTATGCTCAAAACACACCCATAACTCATTAAGAGAATGAGCTCAGCCCTGTTAGACCATGCTCCGTGGCTCAAAGCATATTTTTCCTTTGTTAAAATAGCAAAAGTGGATTTGGACACGCTCTTAATGCTTTTGCACCCTGCGTCTTAGACATTGCGCCTAGATCGTTAAAACAGAGCCCATAGAGTTGGAATCAGTGGCGTAGCGGATGGGCCCGCAGGGCACGCACCGCGGGGGGGCCCCGCGTGATTAGGGGGCCCCGCGTCGTCGCGATTTTCAATAATTGAAAATCAACCGGCAACCGCAATAATCAAACTCTTGGGAACAACTGTGGTCGGAACCAAAGTTCACAGGTCTGTGTTCTCTGAACACCTCTCAAGCGGTGGACTACTTCATTCTGATTGCTTGCCGCCAATGTTGCCAACTTAGCGACTTTGTCACTAGATTTAGCGACTTTTCAGACCCCCCTAACGACAAATCTAGCGACTTTTTTGTGTGTTATTGGAGATTTTTTTAGACTGTCACTTGTCCATACTGTACCGTCCCTACTCTTCTCAACGAGCTGCGTGTGATGCCGCCCACCCCTCCTCCGCCTCACAGCACTGACAGGCGGCCCAGTCAGTCCTCGTACAGCAGCCTCTCTCATCTGCAGCCCGAGAGCAGATCACCCCTCTGCGTACCGACGACAAATGATTTAGCACAGGCAGTGTGAAGGTATTTCCCTTGTACAGTCAAACCGATCTACTTCTACTTTATTTTAACAATTTAATTGGACCGTTTATTCCTTTCTTGTTCACAATCACATATATTTTAGTGACAGTTTCTGAATTTGTCTGAGTTTATTACATATGAGAGATTACTGCACATTCACTACACATCTATAATGGCATGCTGTATTCAAACAGCAATAAGTTTAGTTAAATAAACATGCTTATATAAAGTGTAGTGCAATTATAAATACCCCTTTATTAACCATAGGCTGTTAAACAAACAGAAACGGTAAAACGTGATGACGTCAGTGATATGCAAATTGGCGTGTGACGTATCTCCCCCCCCTCTTCATCAGGGGGCCCCGTCAGCGATCCCTGCAGGGGGGCCTCTGCATTTTGCGCTACGCCACTGGTTGGAATCCTGGTTCATGGACTTTACTGTCATTCTGCTGTCCTCTCAAAGAAATTAAGTAAATGAATCATTAAATTTATTAATAAAATAAATTAAATAAGTTGAACATTTGAGCAAAATAAATAATGATAAGGGAATGCATTGTTTATTTAAAAAGATAGTTACCAAATAAATGTTAACATTGTGTGGTCAGACATTGAAAGTCAGTAAAATATCAAAAATATATATTATTATTAATATTAAAATTATTATCATTTAATTATTTTTAATTGAATTAATGAATAAATAAATAGTCTGGATGAAATAATAATGGTTATTTATTCAAGTTGCCCTTCCAGCTACAACCTAGTACTGGGAAATATCCATACGCACTTATCACACACACACTCATACACTCCGGCCAATTTAGTTTATTCAATTCACCTATAACGCATGTATTTAGACTGTGGGGGAAACCGGAGTACCCGGAGGAAACCTGCGCCAACACAGGGAGAACATGCAACCTCCACACAGAAATGCTTATAGAACTAGCTGGGACTCGAACCAGTGACCTTCTTGCTGTGAGGTGACAGTGCTAACCACTGAGCCACCGTGTCACTCATATTATATGGTATTTGTTTTTTTTTTTAAAAATGTTTATTTAATAAAACAATTTTATTAGTTTCCCTTAAATATGTTTTGTATTTTTTACAGTATTTCCACTGAAATTTCAACGAAAAAAACTCTAACACACAAACACACACACACACACACACACACACACACACACACACACACACACACACATGCACACGCACACACACAAATCTCATAGTGAAATAGATTGCTTAAGAAATGTAGGAAATCCAAGTAAATTCAGGCCCTTCAGGTAAATTTTCTTTGCTTTTTGTTTATCATATGAGACTCCATACTGCGTTTTAGCTCTAACATATTCGAGGAGAATAATGTTATCCTCGCCGAAATGGTTATATTCATGTTACAGCAACATGTTCAATAGACTAGAGTCAGTAAAATAGCTGAAATGCCAACACTTTTTCTCTTGATTTTACTTTCTGTGCCTTGCTCAAGGCCTCTGGGGTTTATCTGAGACTGGAAAGGCCATCCAGAGATCTTTCTGAGCGCAAAAGTGTGAAGTGAACAATAAAAAAGAGATGATATGAGCAGAGAGGTGACAAAATATCGACTCCACACACTTTGATGATTTCCAGACTGCAAGGTCACACTGTTATCAGTGTTTTTCCTCATTTGAGGCCATTAAAGGGACAGCAATTGAGCTTTAAGTATTGTTTCATTTATATTCGGCTTCTGTAGTATTGAAGAAAAATACTATTACAGTTGTTGCTTTTTCATTTTATTCATGGCCT